ATCAAATCTGCTAAGCTGTAGTTTGATTTTCCGCCTCTTGTTTCCATTTTTCGTCTCTTTTTTTTTTTTTTTTATCCCCCTCTCTGACACCAATTTGTTACGTCTCCGCGTGTTAATTAATTTTCCGTAACTTCGTTTCAACGAAACTTTAACGACACAAGTCTTTACTTAATAAAACTGATTTATTCTTTCCGAATATAACTTAACCGATACACTGAACTTCAACTATCGCGCTAAACAAACGCTATAGCAACGAACGTCAATAATACTCTGACCGCAGATCAATTACTCACTATCTATCTACACACACATTACCATGCTTTATATATACCAGCCCACCCTACATCGAGCAATTACTAGAGCATTCCCGAAAGAACAAGATAGTTCTAGAAACTAGAGGGCGCTACAGTGGTCACGTGACTCGTTGACGCAACAATATTTTAGATAATCTGTGTAGGCGCAAAGTAAAATTTCAAAATTTTAAGGTTTATTACAATAAATACTTGTTCGAAGTGCTTTCTTAAATGTTGATGAGAACACTTAAATGTACTTAACTTTGAAATTAAAATAGAAAATTATCACATAAAATATTGGCACCTCTTACATTAACTATAGTGCTCCCGAGTCATTCTCTAAAAGGGCCACATATAACTCACTAAATTACTGGCATGTTTGACAGTCAGAACATCTTTACTCATAAATGTTTTCATAAGTGATTAGGGCGCCCTACTCGCAATCTGCAGTTAACCTTTAGATAATTAACCTTTCCTCATTTTTTAAAATGTGCATTATTTATTTATTCCAACTTCTCTGAATCAGTTTATTCAATTGTATCTTTACTAATTTATTTCAATGTACTTTTTCTTCTTCTAAGGCTACGTTAAAACAAATTCCTGCCAATATTCTCATTATTTATATTTAGAACAATAATACATCTCGTGAAGCAATGATAACTGTTTTAAGGTATTAAAAGTTTTCTTCGATTATTTTACCAGCAGAAACTTGAAAAATGTGACGACTTTCATTTTGGAGGATCCGTTAGTTCCATTATCTCTTAAAGAAATAATTCCATGGTCTTCGAAAGGCTTAGCGATATTTCATTTGCTTTGAAGAATGGTGAATCCTGAGTGAGTTATCGTATGTCCAGTTTCCTGTCTATCCCTAAAACAAATGTCCCCTGTTTTAAATATAACGCGGTCTTCCTACACATTTGTTTTAACGCAATATTTATAATAAACCACTTTATTAATATATTACTTATAAAAATAAATAAAAAAGTTGTTTTTTGTTACTAAGCACAAAGCTACACAAAGGGGTATCTGTGCTTGCACATCCTTGGGTATCGAAACCCGGTTTCTTGCTGTATAAGTCCGCAGACATACCACATGGGGGCAAATAAACAAAAAAAGAGTAAAGTTTTTGAATCTTATTTTTTCAAATTCAAAGATTCTATATGTAAACAGTCAATAATACTGTTTGTTAATTTTATTGTTGTTCTCGCTCACGCGTTTAGTACATTATTTTATTCTTGTGTTCTCAAATTTACTAAATTATCGTTATTTTCTTTTGCCTGATGATGACCCAAGTAGAGGGTCGAAATGCTGCACGGCCATATTTATATATATATATTTCTCTGTAAATTGTAATAAACATTTCACAAGTTAGGAACAATGAGGTACGATGTTTTTAATTACCATAGTTCTTATGTTTTTACATTTTATATCATGATTGTCAATATTTTAGTATATTTAAATCATTTATTTTTGGTGAAACATTTTAAATCAGACATTCCGGAATTTGTGAGCCTAGTGCAATACTTTGTTGTTGTTTTTTTTTTGTGTGTGGGAAGATACTTAACGTTTGTTTCATTGTATCTATCAGTTTCAACATATTAATGTTCATATCGTTGAGTTTTTTGTTTTTTTTATGAATGTGATCATTGATAAAGTTTATAATTTAACGAGTATACGGTGCATAATATGTTTTCCAAATATCTGACTTTGTTAATCTTACACTTAAGTGAAATATTTCAAATTATTTTTGACATTACGTTTAAACTCAAAAATAACCCACACATTTCTTTAAAGAAATTTTACAAGAAGGGTCTATTAGTTAGTAATAAAAATTAGGTTATTGTTAATATCTATTTCAAGAAAGTAGGTGATACAGGATTCTTCTACACAAAAAAACACAACTGCAAACCAAGAAGCTCCTCATTCAAACAGTAGAACATAAACTACAAAGATCTACTGAAAAAAAAAATTATGAAGTCAACCAGGAATCTTTTGTAGCATCCCTAAGTTATCAGCAGTTACCACCTTTCCTAGGTAAGCATCAGAATGACTAATCTGAAAGATTCCATATAACAATCACTAACAATTAGCTTTATATGTAATGAGAGAATCAGAAGGAAAGGTCATGAGGAACAGTCTCATTAAGACCAACTGTGGTTTATTTGTCAAACTAACCCCATAACTTGTCTTTATTCAATATTTACTCCGTCGGACCCAATATTCACCAAAATTTTGCCCTCTTTCAAAAATATTAAACATAATGACCAAGATGCTGAGACATTATTATATAAAACAATATTTCTGCACATTGATCGAATCAGTAACAAATTTAACATTAATCACCTCTCAATGTTTTTAAAAGATAACCTGGTATTGTAATTTCAGTCATTTGCTAATAAATATAGGTTTCTTTAAATCTTACCACCTCCACTTCAAAAAATCTAAAAGCAGTGTCAAAGTTCCTTCATTCCAACATAACAAGTATGTTAATTGACATTGTACTTTCACAACTTTTCATAATGTGTTCAGTTTCATTACATGCAACAGACTGATTATTTTTAGAATGTAATGTCATTTTTAATTTTCAGTAGATTATTAATATTCTTACTTCTGGTAGTTTAAAATTTATTGAACACACAGGTATACGTTTCCAAGCACGATTGTACATAGTTTATCACTGATGTTACGGGTATCAATCATTCACAAATCTAAACACCTTATAACAAGTGGTTACAAGTTCTATACACCACAGTCATGAATGTATAGCTTCAGATATGAGTAAGTTAATTTACTTCTGCTACCAAGTAACCAACAATATAGTCAAATAAAATATTTATTGATGTCTGTACAGAGAGTAAAGGTATGCATCTTTACACATCTTATTCATAGTGACTGTTTTTTTTTTCACAACATATAACTTCCATTTTTTGTTGTTCTTTTAAATCATTTAAGAGTCTTGAATTGATTCAATCATGGATTCCTTTCCTTCCTCTAAGTTAGCATCTGGTTGTGGCTGGGTTTGAACTTTACGACGTTTAGGAGGAACATAGCAGCCCATTCCTGCAGCTGCTTCAGCTTCCCGCTGACTATAAGGTTCTTCTTCTAAAGCTTTTAACCTAAAGTAAAAAAAAAATAACAATTCTCTTGCAATGATATCTTAAAGCTTAAAAAAGCAGAGCTCAGAAGCTGTTATTTTTCTTTTCATTAGTCCTTTTATAGCTCCAAACAAACTACTTTAACACAATATTGCACCTCAATACTTGTACAATCTAAAAAATATAATTTCAAACTCTAAAGAACAGAAGCAAAAGCTAGTAAAGTCAAAACAAAAAGTACTTATAACAAAACATAAAAAACCTTGACAGGTTTAAGGAAGGTAAGAACTTATACTGAAATCAGAAGCCAGAGATGAGCCATTCTGGGGAAGTATGTACTGTAACCAGAGGCCAGGAATGAGAGGTTGATAATAAGGGTTTGAAAAGGTACATACACTATCATTCAATGCCAAAGACAAATAAAGAGGCTGAATTTCGGGACACATCAAAACAACTAGAACAGAGCATTTCCTCAGTACAGATCTAACTACTCTGTGAATATTGAGTTCCTGTAATCTGAGTATATTCTATACTTCACAACTAATTATGGGTTTAAAAATATCCCTACAAAACACAATATGCATGAAGCAGAACAGACGTATACTTACCGACGTTTGTGTACTTTACTCCTGAAATGTTCTTTTAGAGCATGGTCATCAATGAAGTACCGCCTGAAATAGACAAAAAAAAAAGTTTTAGGTGAAATCAAGCATTTCTTGACTTTTTCTTGCTTAAACACACATGTGCACAAGTAACATAAATCAATACTCGGTAGATTTTTATACTACATCCTGAATTAGTTTTCCTTAAATATTCTAGGCTGTAAAATCTGAAGTAAAGTATCAATGAAAGTCTTTAAACAAATACACAATCAATTAAGCCTTCACTGTATCACTAAATTTTAGTCATTGTCAGTTTTCATTTTCAAGATGATACCAAGAATAACTAATTGTAGATTTTAGCTTTGAGAAGTTTTTAAGCAGTTTTACTTTCGTTCAAGAGCGTAGAAAAATTTAAAGGATTTCACTTCAGACTTTCAATACTTCAAAGAACATGAACAGGCTTCCAGGTGTGGTATCTCAACCACAATCATGCTTGTCATACCCCAGACTGCCTAAAGAGCCATCAGTATTAAATGAAAGCCTTTGTCAACACTGGATATAATAAATGTGGTGGACATATTATAATACACTTTACTGTACTTTCACTCAGTTCTTAATCATATAGCTATTAATCATTTTTTAGACTGAAAAGTTTGATAATGAAGAGAGCCTTTAGAACTGTTTGAAAATAGAATAGCTTGCTTCATGATATGCAAGTCTGGAATATTTAAGTGTTTATTGCATTAGTTCAAATGGGTGGGTATTTAGTTTCATATTTTTAATATTAGTGAGTGATTTTGGGCAAATGGTGGTGTATAGTTTCATATTTTCAATGTTAGTGAGCTAAAGATTTTGGGCAAGTGGCTCATTGCCACTTAACTTTTCCAATGTTATTGCAAAAATGATATATCTGATGATATTAAGTAAAAATACTGATTGCCTCAAAAATGTTTAATTTAGATGATTTATATTGCAAGTGAAATATCAGTATTTTTTTTGATAAGTTAAGCATTAAGATGAAAATGATGAAATTGTTTAAATGTTGTTGGATGTATAAGTACACGTCCTTCATTAAAGTTGCAGGTTTTGATAAAATTGATGATAGGGAACAATGTGATTCCTTGTCAACCTAAGTGCACTTTAAATTTAAGATTTTTGGTTGAAAGATTTACAGTACAAGCTTGTTTAATAAAATCTTGATTATCTTGTGACAGAAAACTAATTAAACCAAGACTGAATTTCATAATCTTTATCTAGATCAGTATGACTATTTAAACAGAAGATTAATTAAACCAAGACCGAATTTTGTAATCTTGATCTAGTTCAGTATGACTATTTAAACAGAAGATTAATTAAACCAAGACCAAATTTCATAATCTTGATCTAGATCAGCATGACTATTTAAACAGAAGACTAATTAAACCAAGACCAAATTTCATAATCTTTATCTAGATCAGTATGACTATTTAAACAGAAGACTAATTAAACCAAGACCAAATTTCATAATCTTGATCTAGATCAGTATGACTATTTAAACAGAAAATTTTGACAAAATTTAACAACACATAACTTACAAATAATGAAATATAAATTAATCAAAATTCTAAGCTTTTTTAAGTCAATACTAATGGAAATAATTATGGAAACACCAAAATGGTACTGAGAATAATTAATTTTAGCTTCTACTTTAGAGATTTTTTAAAGCAGTTTTAATATACTTAATATCACTTTTGAAGAATTTGGGTTTCCTACCTCAACAACCTATTATTAAGAGTTCTAGTTTTACGTATCCCACCCCCCCATACTAAAACATAATGCTAAGTTAGAGGAAGGAAAATAATCCATGGTTGAATAAACTCCGACTCTTATGTAAGCTTTGGTAATACCTGTTTAGAGCTTTCTTAGAAAGTCAGATAAATGTCAGTAGTTTAGGGACATTTTATTTTAATTATTGATATATTTTTGTGTTTTAAAAATGTAAAAAATTAGAAACTTCTCAGCTTAGCCAAACAAAACCAACATATAATTGTGCTTAGTAAAAGTCACTGTTGCCTTTGTATTTTTTACCACTAATTTCCCAACAAATAAGCAGTCATGAAATCAAATTTTTTCACCACTCAAATACTTGTTTATAAGCCATACACTTATAATAAGTACAAAAGTAAGAAATAATAATATAATGAGCCATTAAGAGAAAAAGACTATGTTGTGGCTTTATCCAACAAGACTACTGGAAAAATTAATTTTTGAGTAAGATACAAAATTCTACTTCATGAATAAAACAAAACAAGTAGAAATGAATAAAAAAACCTACAACCCGAGTGTTTTCGAAAGCGCTCAGGTTATAGGGTTTTATTCATTTCTATCAAGACTTCTTGAACCTACGTATATTTTAACATCATGAAAAAAACACAAGTAGTAAATGTATGAGAATTACAAACATCATAAAAATACTGGTAATTTCATGAGGAATTATTATAGAGAACCCGATACAGGACTTGTACCAATCAAGTTACGCTACTGTAAACTGTCACACTGCTCCAGATATTCCCAAGAAAGACCAGGCAGTTAATAATAATTAATGTTCCCAAGTTAATACAACCATTATTCACATCAATCCCCACACTGATAACAAAGCAATGAAAAATTTTATAACCAGCACACAGTTAAGATAGGCACAGAAGTATAGTGATATATCACTGTTCAAATGTCTCCAAGTCAAATCAAAACAGAATACACACATGTTGACCAGTCACAGATGGAGAATAAAATTAAAACCAACAGATTTTACTTGACCTGTTGGTTGCTGTATAACATATTTTCTCAGAGAAAAAAGAAAGATTAGAAGTGACCTCACTGAAGTTTACAAGATTATCTGGAGGCTGTGGAGAATGAACAAAATAAAACCTCTGATTTCTCTGTGCTGTATTCTGAAGGTAACACTAACAGGACAATATGAAGAAAAAGTTTAATATTTAAAAAAGACAGGCTAGGTTCTAGTTAAGACAGTTTTATTTTTATAAAAGATTGATGGCATATGGAATGAACTGTTTGTAGTAGTGAAGACTAGCACTTTTGGAAGTTTACGAGGGAAGTCAATGACATTCATAAAACTAAAGTAAACGGTTAGTTCAAGGAATTTGAATTTTTGAATTAGTTTTTACTTGAACAGTTAAAGCAGAGAAATACTTACGCACAGTGCAGACAGTAGAACTGTCCACTTCCAGGAAGATCATAATCTTCTTCTTGATTTAATAACTTGCTGGCATTTTCAATCTTCATATGTTCAGATATTTCATCCAAGTCTTTGGTCCTTTTTCTAGTTTTACATTTTCTCGTAATGGGATTTTTCCCTCGGTTCGTCTTCTTTCTTGAATAACGAGTCATTTTTGTATAGTATTCTAAACAAAATAAAATCAACGAAGTTTAAATCCACAGACAAAAATAATTTAGTTGATAGATTCCATGCAATTCTACAACATATTAATCCCACAGATAATCAAGTCTTAAGCACACAGACCCTCATCTCCAAACTTTGCACGCGGCCAACGTCTATTGACAAGTGTACCTGTCAATAACAAGGAAATAAAAGTAGCAATTTGCACAGAATTATAATACTTCCAAATACCTAGTTCAAAATGAGTATTTACTCACAAATGTTATTTCTTTGATAAAAAATATCCATATTTCATCTACTGCACTTTCTTATGTGTACGTCAGTTGATTATTTTTTTCGCCTTTTTGTAAACATCGTATTTGACAATTGAACATTTTATGAGATAGTGAATTCTACTTTTATTGTGTTTTGTTTTTGTTTACTGTTCATCTATTATTCCTTCTATCGTTTAGTTCAGTTATTAATTTTTAGTTTTATTAAGGCGCTAATTAACTTACCTTTCAACTTAAAGCACGTTTAATTTGAGTATGTATTATGAAATTGACACAAGCTCCACCTAGCGCTGACGTAAAGATATTAATGTTGTGAAAGACTACATGGATTAGCTAGTCATATGAAATGTAACCTCGTGGTCTAACCATTATATAAACACTTTCCTTGAACTTAAATGAGTTATTTCACGATATATAGTTAGAACTGTGTATCCTTGACCGTGGACACCGCCTTGATGGAATTATCAGTGTGTATGTTGCGGACTTAGTGGGGCAATGCCGTCACAACCAACATTGCTGGACATCACGTCACGTGATACTTTTCCACAGATGCGTTTGTATTCACTACCATGGGTGTTACGAAGAGAACATTTTACTTTTTAAAAGTTTTACCTCATTATATTTATAGCTGCATTCACGGAAATTTCTTGTACTTGCTGCTGCCAGAGGCGTCGCTAGACCCCTGCCCCGATTCTACTTAATAGTGCCCAGAATTCCCAGTTGGTGTCTTGAAAAATTAGAATAGAAAACCATGATCAACATCATACAGAAACGCCGAAAATTTCTGCGCCTATGGGCTCGAGCCACAAATCTTTTAAGCACTTAGCGACGCCTCTGGATACTGCATTTCATTGAATTAAAATAGTGTTTGTATAAACTTTTATTACAACTTTCAAAATATTGGTAAAGTAATTCCTACCCCATTTTCAACATTGCATGGGCAAAAATTGCCTTGCCTGCGCTAAGTGGACATTTGTATCATTGATAATCAAATTCAAGTACCAACATTTCCCGTTGTAATAATGTAATAAGGGGGGGGGGATACATTCCTGACCGAAATTTTTCTAGACAGAGAAACGTGTTTTACGGTATTAATTAGAAACTCAAACATTAACGAAGTGTGTAAAACATTAAATAAAACTGATAAAAAAGCATACAGCTACACATAACAATGCTATCACATAAATTGGGCATATGGCGCATTTACGCATGCGCAGCTGCGTTAGAAGGTCCTATTTTCTATTTCCAAACCAAAACTTGCTAGGGCGACTGGTCTTATTAATCGAAAAAGTTCTCTAATATGAAAACCAATTGAGAAAAACGCTCTAATAGAAAGCGCACTAAACGAAGGATGTTGATGTACGTAAAACATGATCATTACCATGCCACCTGCATGTTTGAGTAGGAACTCAAGAAGGCTAAGCCTTAGACATAATAACCTAAAAAAATAATGTAGAGATATACCCTAGCACCCCTAACTTTTGGTCTTTATTTTTATACATTGTAACTGCACGTAAAAGAATAAAATGTTACCCAGAATACCATTGATTTAAAAAAATAGACTTCATTGAATAGCAAGACCAATTTTTTTATATATTAAGGTAAATTATCATTCTTGCTCTTACAGGGTGTTTACTATTCAAGTAAAAACAAAAATCACAAAATTAACAGATGAAAGGAAAAAGTATTCTGACTGCAGAATGGTCTTAGCTTGACACAGTTTTTGTTTTTAATTTCACGCAAAGCTACTCGAGGACTATCTGCAAATGCTATCCTTGATTTAACAGTGATAGTCCAGAAAGAAGACAGCTAGTCAACACCACCCACTGCCAACTCTTGGGCTACTCTTTTACCAACGAATAGTGGGATTGACCATCACTTATAATACCCCAGGACTGAAAGGGTTCAATGACGTGGATTCGAACCCGCAAGTCGAACGCCTTAACAACCAGACTTACTATAGACCATATAGATGAAAAATACTAGTTTCAATGGGTCCAATAAGCTCCATTTATCTTTAGCAATATCAGTGTAATTAGCTATGTTGTAATTTTTGTTAATTCAATTTTTTTCAATTTTTCTTCGGAAAATTTTAAACCACAAACATGTGATTAGAACGAAACAAGCAATGGTAATAATAATTCTCCCTATTCAACCCAAAATCCATTTCATTCTAGGCTACTGTTGACAATCATTGTGTGAATAGGTTATCCTAATTCTATTGTTCGCTACATTGTCGATGGATATTTAAAAAATGTATTGGCATTCGTATAGTTTTGAGTACAACTTTAAGCCTAATTTGGCAATTACGTAGTTTTTATTTTCTTTTTGTTAAGTATAATTTAATAACACGCATCAGTATTTGATTGTGGTAGTTAGTTCGTTTTGACAGTATCATAATTAAGCTTGTCGCATTTCTCGAAATGGATTATGTTAAGTCAACACGAAATTGTCAAAAAATTATTCTGGAAGGACATGTTTATGTCACACAGAAAAGTTAGGCAGATGGTGTCATTAGTGGATAGTGTGAACAGAGGAGATCATCGTATAAAGCTACGGTTAAGCTTCATGGTAATAAGCCTGTTATTTAATTGTTCATTTTCACACTTGGTTTCATGAATACTTTATACACTATCCTACCAAAAGTTTATATAGTTAGAAAAAATTAGTGAAATACAGTAATATCATCCCAAAGGTTAAATACTCAAAGTGGGTTGCTAAAGTTTTCTTTGCCGAGAATTTTAGGTGATATGTGCAAAAAGTAGTTTTTACATTAATAGCTACAGAAAAATACTTAGAAAGTTTTCAAAGTAAAGCAGAACAAATACTTCATTGTGTTTGATTATTTAGATTATACCAAACAATAAACATGAATCTTGTGACTTTAATTAATTAAACTTGACATGATAAAGTACAGTTAATGCTCTAATTTTATCATTCATTTTTCCATTTGAAGTATTAATCTTATAGTTGTGGATTTTTGCTTAACATACTCTTCAAGGTTTGTTGACAGTCAATAAGGCTAGACATACATATATCTCTTCCTATAAATTATCCCATTTTATGTTTTATTAGCTTCATCTTTTCCAGACAAATAAGTAGTTTGTTTGTTTGTTTGTTTTTG